CACAGTTGCAATAGCACCAGTTAGTATTCCATGTGGCAATAACAAAAATACCTGACAGCAGAATTTACAAGTTTCCATAAATACTTTATTTACAGAACTCATTTTCTCTAAAACAGAAAAAAAAGCTCCTTGTCTGTTTGTGAAATTCACCCCTTTACTCAAATTTTCAAGGAAAAGGCCAGATCACCATCTACTTAATATTTAGGAAACTTAAAACAGATTGGGCAGGCATTTATGAATGATTCAATCCAAAGCTCCCTAATTCCTTTTCCTAAAAGCCCCTCCCTATCCTGGAAGCATCAAGATCCTCAATCTTTCCCCCATAGCTTCTTCTACGGAAAAACTGCCACCTTTACTGGACACTGATAGGCCACCAAGCAGAGAAGCAAGCAACACAAGGTCAATTTAGCTCCGAGAGTTCCCAGGGAAAAGACAGGGCAGTCCGAGGGCTGAGCTTAGGGTGGCCCAGGGAGTGGTGCAGCTCAAGTGCTATGACCACCTTCCCCTCCACCAACTTCCCACTGGGGGAAAGAACCTTGACCTTGAGAAATCTAGCATGTAAGTATTGTGCTGCTGTGAACAAAAAGTTGAGAAGCTCTCTCTTATTCATAATTCTAAACTAAATCAAAACTAAAAAAAAAAAAAGAAACTCTTCTATGAATTTAAGTCAGCATTGGGTGTAATCCACAAATCCAGCAAGAAAAAAAAAAACCTTTAGGAGCTTCCGACTTGCTTTCTGTAGCCTTCGAAATGACTATCACCTAGATTAAAATGTAAACGTGGGGACAGGAATGCTGGGAAATCAAAATGTGACAATGACGCATCCAATAGTCAAGTAGCAACCACCTTGAAAATGACCTTCTGCCTTTCTGCTCATAATGGGGAGTCTCCTGAAGGAGGAAACAGAGCCTACAGAGCTGCAAAATGCAGGGCCAGTTTTCAAACCCTACAGCTCTGGACACTAAAACTCATCTGAGTCACCACAACAACGGAATTTGACTAAGAAAGGCCACGCCTTTCCAAGAAATAAAAACTGATCTGTTTCAGGTGAAAATCGAAACTGATGGCCATAGCTGAAAAGCCAGTGACACCTGCACATTCCATTTTTAGTTGCTAATTACCATATCATAGTCAGTTACTTCCCACATCGATTCAAAAAGGAGTTGTCTAGTTAGTTATTAATGGAGAACAAACAGGCAGCCAACCCTCTTACAGAACTATTAATGAGTAATTTTCAAGTGAGCTCTATGCAACAGTGATGTGGTATTAATGACAATGAATTTGGGAGAGATGGTGTATCACATCCCCCCTGCACTGCAACGTGTTTGTTTTCTGTCCCCCATTAGGGCCCACCTTCTCTGGTGTTTTGGAGGCCAGAATATAGTTAGGGATTGACTAAGGTGGATCTTCCCAAGAAGGTCAACTCAGCACAGCATTCCTAATCCTAGCAGAGATAAAGGCTGCTGCTCTTTCTTTCATTAAAGTCTTTTTCTCAGAAGCTTGAAAACTGGGCTTGATGCCTCGTGCTCTTATTTTACCAACACTTTCCAATTTTACACTAATCATTTTATTGGAATGGTGATTACAAATTGAACCAAAGAATAAAGTATCCTAGATCTCTAACCAGTGTCATTATACTGTAATAAAAATACAGGGGCCACAGGGGACACCCATACATCCACATGGATGCCAGATGTGGTGGCACACATGTGGATGGGGCAACCTCACCTCAAGAGTCATGATTCTCAAACCAGGTGCCAGGACAGAGACAGGGTAGGGTGCTACTCCCAAACACAACCTTCTCTGAGACTCTGAGCAGTACTTGTTTCACTCCCAGGCAGTGATTTACTTCTCAATCTTTCTGTACTCTAAGTTTGTTTCTGCAGCCCCCTGGATGACAGAGAGGCTTATGGGTATGTGGCTGGGGCAGATGTCCTTGGAGAGGAGAAGAGAGAAGAAGAGAGGGGGTCTGGCTCTTGGGAGGGAAGACGGTGATTCTGCAAAATACCCCCTTCCCAATCTCCTGCCCACTGAGTTCCACTAGGGCAGAGTCTGGAAACAGTCCTCAGTACCAGGTGCACCTGGCTCTAGAAACTACCAGGTTTCAGAGGGATGGCCAGAGCTTCATGTGTTCACACTTCCTGCAGACCAGATGCTGTTCTCTGTTTAAATATTTGCTTTTCTTCCTTGAAGGAAGCCAAGCCTGGATAGCATAGGAATGTGGGTCACAAAGACCAACTTGAGTGAGCTGCCTCAAAGAGGGCTACTGATCCCTGGCTTAGCCCCAAATTTAGAAACACAGACTGTTTTGTCGGAAACTTCACTTCTGAAATGATAGAGTGGACAGAAATTAATAGGCCTATTGCTTGAATTCTCATTGCCTGGAAACCCAATGGTACCATTTTTTAATCTTTATGGGGTACTAGAAAGGAGAGAGGTATAATATAAAGCAAAGAAGCTACTGGAGAGAAAAATTTGAGAAGCATATGGCTAAGTTTGTCTGTGTCTGTTTAAAAGCACAGCAAGGGGATAAGCACCCATTGGCTTTTTCAGCTATCATGGTAATGGTATTATCTTTTTTACGTCATGTTTCCCTCATAGGACAGTGTACAATGTCAAGGCCCTGAGGTGTATACTCCATAAATGCTGAAATAATAAATAAACAGATCAAACAACAGTGAAAAGGATTCCAAAATGTTCTCTTATCAGAAGAGATAACCCTAAATGCTCTGTCTTGAGATAGCATAAATATGTAAACAACACATGAGCTGATGGCCTCATCTGTTTGCCACCTCACAGATAGGCAAGCTGAGCACCACAGAGGTCAAGTTGCCCAGTATAAAACCTGGAACAGATCTCCTGCTTTTGGTGTTCTTTCAATTATCCTCAGCTGCCAGGGAGCTCACTGCACCTGAAGGCCAGGGAGCACATCACAGAGTTTGGGGTCTTTCTATAGAAGATGAATATTAAGCCAAAGACTATAAGAGGATTCCTGTATTGGCAAAACACCTGTGATAGATGAAGAGTCAATTACTCTGGAATGTCCTCCAAAGCTCAACAGGGCCGACACCACCAGGAATTTTAAGGTGGGAGAGAAAATAAAGAGGAAAGAGGAAGACAGAGAATTACAAAGAGAGAAAGGAAAAGATGGAAGGAGACTGAGCAGGGGAAAGGCAGCAGGCCAAAGCCATCCATTTATTGTAACATTTTGTGATTGCTAGTCCACAGTGGACCATGCTGAGCATAAACTTCATCGGCATAACTTCTCCATTTTATCGGAGGCTGTGGCACACTTCCTCTCAGCATCATGCCAGGACACTTTCATTTCAAATTCTAAGGGAAGAGACTGAGCCTTCCAACAACTGAGCCACCATTACATTTCCTGCAGCATTTGAGTTTTCTTTGGAAGTTTCCCATTCAAGTATACGCATATACTCACTCCTCCGATCCTCCTTAACTTAAGAGGTCATGGTTCTAGGCAGAGATGCGGCAAAAAACCAGGACATGCGCCTACACATACGCAAATACACACATACACAAATACACACACACACACACACACACACACACACACACACAAAGTGCCCTAAGAAGATATCTGAAACAATAAAAAGGGCTCTCCTTTACTGGTGAACTCTATCTCGATATAAAACCTTAAGACATGAAAAAAAAAAAAAACAGGTCAGTGCAACAAATCAACACATAAAAAGACTTTCATTCATAAAGAGGAGGGGAAGACGTTACTGTATGCTCACAGGTCCTTTCCAACATTCTTGACTGCCTATAAAAATCTATAAGGGCTGTAGTGGTGGTTTCACTTTTCAATCAAACCACTTTATAAAATGAAATCAATCTGATTTGTAGAATGTACAGGATAAGTCTAAGTCTCACCAATCTGCAAATACAAGCTATTCACAAGGATCCTAAGAACAATAGATGGTTGTCCTGGGTAACTTGGAACTTGGAGCTGTTCAGATGCAACCCAAATGGGAAAATACGCTTCTACGGAAAGTGATGAAGGACTCTTTCACATCAAAATTTCATCATAAGAATGTCATCAGTTTTCATTTTACATTCGGTTAAAATATTTTTCCATCCTTGCCAAGTGACTTCTTGCCTAAGCCTGTGTTCTGAATCTTTCAATCCCTCCAAACTTAAGTCACAAAGACTAGTTAACTTGCATTTCTCCCCCAAATTCCACATTTCCTATTATTAAAATCCTCAGCCTGTTTGCTCAACCACAGAAAGATAGAATAAAGCAAGGGAAAATGAACAGAATTAAGATCTTCAAGAACAAAAAGTATAGTTGCTTTACAGAAATGAAAGGTTTCTGCATCAAGTTTTCCTGCCTGAGATTCTGTGCATAGCATTAGCTAGGCCAGAAATGTACTGGGTCACCATTCAGCACAGAGTGGCTTTGAGAATAGAGAAATTCCACCATGGATACCAAGGGCCTCTAGTGACAGAAACAGCAAAGAGGGCACCTGTTATAGAATGGTCTGACCCAGAAGGCATTTGCACATGGATAGAGTGAGACCTCCATGCACTACTCCACCCTCCCTCAGAGAACTCTCAATAGTGCAACACCAAAGTACATACATGTCATTCCTAAAGAAAAAAACAAATTATGCTTCCCAAGCCACCGTGTGTTTTCACTTTTCAATCAAACCATCTAAGCAGTCAAGATGATAAAGTAGTCAATTTTTAATACAAATTAATAGCTGACTAGACGTTAGAAACTCAAAATAGATTAAAACTGTTTTTTTCTCAGTAGCACTGTTTGCAAATAAACCAGGTAAATATAATTTTAATGTACAAATCATTATACTGCTTCACTCCAACTTCATTTTCCATAGCCAGTAACTATTGATTTAAATTTTTCTCTACTTACATTCCCTTTTTCTGTATTTAGCACATCTTATAAAAGAATAAGATGGTATTTATTTAGCATTTTCTTTTTGAAATGGTGTTTAAATGGAAGAATAGGAAAATAAACTTACCTCATCCCATTCTAAAAGGTAGTTGGTGATTTTTGAACCATTGTCAATTGGTGCCTAAAAAAAATAATAAAATAGATTAGAGAAAGTTGTTCACAGGCAAAACTTATGAGCTACCCACTTGTTCAAGTATAATGTCTATGACAGCTCTGCATTCTCCCCTCAGGGGAATAAACCTGATAGTTCCTGCATTTCCTTGGTCAGTTTATTAAAGATCACACACCAACTTTAATACAACTCAACTGCAGAGAGAGTCCCCGCTATTAATAAATCATATTCCACAAACAGCCAAACCTGCCTACCCACCTCCCCACCTTTACACCCTCGTGGTACCCCATTTCCTCTGAGAAGAAAACTTTTCAGAGGCACTTTCAATTCAAGAGTAGAGGGGAAAAGGCAGTGGAGAAACACAGACACTGCTGGGGTCTGGTGGGGCACAGTTAAGTCTTTATTTTTGTAACTTCTCCCAGGCAGCTTTTTTTTTTAAAGTACTTAAGATTAGAAAGCTGTCTGTGTCCTAAGGGTTCCCCTTTTTTTAAAAACATAAGGAAAAATGAGATCCTCTGAATATTTTACTAGAGGCTATTAGCCCTTCATATGTTAGCAAAAAGAAGTTTCATCATTTGCTTTTCTCTTAAAAGCATGCTGAGATCTGTTTCACTGAGAAAAGAGGTTTTGAACAACAGGAAGGGAAGTAGAGAACTCTGGGGAAAAGAATGCTTTCCAGGGTTAGACCAGCTAGGAGGAGTGCCACAGTGGGGTCCCTGGGAGCTCTAGGGTGGTAAGATCTAGAGAGAGAGAATTAAGAGGTGGCGGAGGCAGCCAGAAAAAGGAATAGGATCACGTCTCCCTCCTCAATCAAAAACATGCCTGGGCCTGACTCTTCCCTAAGAGCAATAGCCCAACAAACAGCACAGTTTGCCTCTGGCAAAAAGCAGCCAGGCTTCCCCAGAGTTGTGTCTGAATTCCAGCTTGGCTGTTTATCTGTCCCATGTGGCAAGTGCTAGCTGTTTAATATCAACATCTAATTTCTCCTTCCAAGAATGGATAGGTGTGACAAGTAATTGGGAGAATATGTAAATCACCTAGTAAATGACCCAGTTTTATAGGAAGCACTCGGTAAATAGTAGCTATTGCTCTATTATTGTTAATGACAAAACATCATCAGGGGCTCAGTAAATGTTAGTTAAATCAATAAAGAAATTCTCCCTCTCCTTTTCTTCCTTCTCCCCCTTCTGCCTTCTGAGTCACACACACTCTGGTCCCAAAACTGAGATCTCAGGTAAGTGCTATAAATTCTAAACTATAATTTCAGGCTTTTGTGGGCTCAGTTTGGAGGACAGGATAGTGATACATTTAAAGTCCTAATAACCTGACAAAATAAAAGTTTTAGGTAAGAACCGACTTCTAAGATGAGAACTATGTTTATGATGGCTCATAACTTTCTCTAGAAAAAAAAAATGTTCTTTGGTAGTCCTTCGATGATAGCTTACCCCACTACTAGTCCCTTAATTCCTTGAGGGTGGGTACAGTGACTTAGGTTTTGTTTTGCCTTATGTCCTGTGTAAGCAATACCTGTTGCTGACGAACAAGATGTCAGAGATCTTTTAGCTCTCAGCATCTTTGTGGATTCAAGGAAGGTCAGCAGCCAGGGAAGGTTTCCCTGTCCTTGCACCCCGACCTGCGGCACCATGATCCGGGAATCTGTTCTAAGGACGTTTTAAACGAAAACTAAACTGGATCCAGAACATTCGTGTTTGTACATGACTGAATGGAACAAGAGTATATTTCTGATTTACAACTGAAGAAAGGGAGAAAGGAAATGTGAAACATTTTCCTTGTAATAAGGAAACTCTTTCCTGAAGTTGCTGGTCTGCCTGAGACCTGAAATTCACGCAGGTTTTAAGCAGAGTATGCATCAGTGATTCCCAACTTTAGGTTTATAAGACCCCGGGGTCCCTCTGGTAATCTAATGAAGATTTCTTATCTTTTCCAAACAAAATGGATTTAATTCTTTCCTTAAGAAAAGATATATTTATATATGTATATGTGTAAATATAGAACACATTTTTAAATGCATGTATATGCTCCAAGGAATTAAACAATGATGACCAATTGGGTGTTAAAACTCTGAAAAGGTGGGGAATCACTGACCTGGATTATCCCTGGAAGCCAGGAAGGAAAATAAAATAGTTCAGATTCTAAGCCAGTTTAAACTTTGCCTTTGTCCAGATAACACACTCAATGTTGGCCATTGGCTATGAGAAAGTGGCTGCCCACGCGAGAGGGATCTAGACGAGCCTGTGCTTTGCTGTTTACTGCCCCTCTCGATTGCTTTTACCAACTCCCCAGGTAAATCTGACTCTCTGGTCTAAAGACAAAAAGATAAAATATTTCTTCACCAATAACGGAGCTCCCTACCCATCTTATTTCTTTCACACGTTGCATTCTCCCCCAAATGATAAATCTTTATTATCTCTACCTCTATATATTTTACAGTTTAAATTATATTTTAAAATATTGATATATAGAAATAATTGCTGTAGAGATTGATAACATAATTTACTGTTTTCTTGCAAACACACAACTGTGATTAACAAGCTGGTGACACCCCTTAAGGAAGGTGCAATAGGATCTCTCTTTGGTAACAGTTATTTTTAGCCAGTAAGTTGTATTTCATGAAAATTACTATATAATTCAGTCTTTTTTAGACAATTAGTAATTTTGACTGATATAAGGCCTAATTATTGAAAATGGATGAAGTCTTAATATAGAACACTAAACATTCTAGTTTTAAATATTAAGCATTTGTGTGTCACCACTGAAAGAAACCAAAAGGGACATAAAACTACTTTATCTCCAAATCTTTCTTTACAAAAAATTTTTACTAAAGTCCTAGAAAGTGATGAAATTTAGGTATTTTAAATACTTATCTCACTTATAAAGTGTTGCTTATGACCCCAAAAGATTTACCAAATTCCCTTCCAAAAAGAACTAAAGTGGGATTTTGCAGTTCCCTCCTCCCATCCCTTTGCCAAATTTTTATAGAAATGACAACTTTTAATATCATAATAATGAGTTTCACATAGTAACTATGTAGAAAACCAAACACTAACAAAATTGGAATAGTGCTAAATAAATATCTCAAATGGCTACAGAGTGACATATTAACGTGAGACTATTCTTGACACTTCGAGCTACCCACCTTCCACTGCAAGGTTAGCGAGCTTTTGCTCCTGTGTGCCAGCTTAGGAGGGAAAGGACATTCAGGTGCACAGCTGTGGGTGGTGAAGCTAACTGGCTCGGAGCAGGATCCCTTTACGGAATTGTACATGGCATACACCCTGAAAACAAAACAAAGACAGTCAGTGGCAGCAGCTCATCACAGAAGACCAGGATTCTTATCTTTGCTTCGACCCAGGGCTTTCCACAGATGAACAGAATTTCTTACATAGCGAGCACCCTGACTCTTGCTCCCATCTGCTGGTCTTGTCCTGACCTAAGTATAGTCCTCCTTAACAGGGGACAGGCATCCCAACAGGGTATTTGCCTCAGTGTGTGCCATCCAGCTCTGTTTTAAGATAGGCAGAATCTACTATTGGAAGAGAATATTCTATGAATAAGAAAATATGCCTTAATCTCCAGAATGGTCTCCAAATACGCATTCTAAAAACCGTCAAGCTACTCTCTGGCTGACTTTGGAAAAAGGATAAAACTACAGTTAAGAGTTGGTTTAAAAGGGACAAGAAGCAGTGATAAGAGTCCACAGACTGGAGAGAAAGCACAAAAGTACAAACAACAGGGTAGATATCATCTTTAAACTATTTATAACACTGTACTACTTGGTTAAAATATGGATGTTTCACACATAGAAACATCTTTGCTCCTGCCAAGTGCATCTTTCTCTAATTCAACAAAACAATGTTCAGGTACAATTTGATTCATGTGAATATTTAACTCTTGCACATGGCACCAAGATTAAAGATGTTCGTTCTGCACATTAAAACGCTTGGCTCAACACAGAACATATGTGCCTGATTTCTCTAGAAGAGAAGCTGTGAAGAAAAAGAATATAACATGCTATTATAATACCACACTCAGATAGCATAAAACAGAATTATGTTGATTTTTATCATCTTCCTTTCTACTTTTCCATTATTTCATATCAGGAATATATTTTTAAAAAATTTAAGACATGTTCTTTTAAAAAGGCAACAAAGCAGCCTCTGCTGCCTAAAAAAGATCCAAGGATTAAGCTATTCATAGAGTTGGTAAATACATATTAAGCCTTTAATTCTTACAGCCACCCCTCTCTATGAGGTGAGGAAATCTTATTACCCATTTCAGACAGCAGGAAACTCAGACTTAGAGAGATGAAGTAAATGTCCCAAAGCCACACAGATAGAGTTGGGCTGACTTGATTCAGAACTAGAAGTCTAAGCACTCTACTGTATTGCCCACTCCTCTTGTTCATCCTGTAATCATGTTTCTCTAAATACCCCCAATCTACTTCCCCTCAGTCTATCTAATGAACACACATAATAGCTAAAGATAACATTAGGGAAGACAGGTCCCAATTAAGTGTGTGATTTGCAAAGTCATTTCTCCTCAAAGTCCATCACAAAAAATTAATAGAGGCCACGCTAGTCAAAGGTACTAACAGAAATGTCTACCTTCCCCCTAAAAGGTAAAATACATACTTAATGTATATTTGACTTATTTGCCTTATGGGAGGACACCATGACATCTGATCAAACAAGTGATGCTTATTGTTAGGATGCTCTCCACCCAACCTCTCTGAAGGAAATGTACCTTTTCATACTCACTATAAGTAAGCACATGATAATATAAAACTGAACGGTAGATCTGGCAAGATCATTTCCATGTGTCTGGATGGGCTCTGGGAGTAAGTTACTTAAAATGAATCACAGAATGTTCCAGACATGGGCAGGGCTCAAGCTTGAACTTTGATAAATCAGAATTCTCCAACTGGTGACTCATGGGTTGCATCTGGCCCAACATACATGTGTACATGGGGGGCGGGGGGGCAGGGAAGGGCACAGAGATGTTTTTAAATATAAGAGACACCTATGAATTAAATATGGACCATGATCATAGAAAAAAAAAAAAAAGAAGCAGATACCATGCATTCCTAATAAAAGACCATGCCACTACCTACAAACATTGTCTTGCCAGAAAAACTGAACCTGTGTCTGATGAAGCCTCTTCACCACTTTACAGGAAACACAGAGGACAGGAGAACATATTAAGAAACTCAACAGGGATGCAATCAGCCACATTCACACTTGTGGAAAACTCTACAGGACAAAAACAAAATTATTTCAACAAATAACCTGCAAGAGAGAAAAAAGAGATGAAGGAAAAACCTATGGATTAAAAGAAATTTAAGATCTAGCAAACAAACAGAATATTCAAACCATGTTTGAATTCCAGTTATAACTAAAGAAACAAAAGCTTCATTTTTAGGACAGCTGAGGAAATGGGAACAGTCTCTGGATTTTGAAGTCATTAAGGAATTCACTTGTTTGTTTTGGGTCGACATGTGATGACAGTAATATGGTTTCTAGGTGAAATAATATCATGTCTGAACCTTACTCAAAATCACAGAGGGCAGGGGAGTAAGTAAGGGCACTGAGGAAATAAGTTGGGTGATTAGAGCTCACTAAACTACTATTTTTGATGATATCTGAAATTTTAACAGTTAAAATAAAAATTAAGCCTATACTGAAAGAAATCTGGAGATCTCTCACTGAAAAAAATGAACTCCTGGCTTCTCTTAAAAACTGGAACTTATAGCAACATCAGCCCTCTGTCCTGCACTGTAGTAATGGGATAAAGCTGAGAGCAGCCCCCTCTAGCTGAGGCAGGTGCTGCAGAGTTCTCCAGAGTCCCTACCCCACCCTATTGTCTCCTTGGTGCTGAGACTGCTTTCCAGTTGACCCTTGCCCAATCCATTTTACCCACTTAGGCTCCCTACCTCACCCCGAAGGCATCTCAGTTTGCAATCACTGGGCATTTGCCTACAAGTGCAGAACTACACTCAGGCACACCAGGTCCTGGATGTTCACAAAAACACTTGGCACCAAAAGTCCATCTGGATAACAGAGCAGAGGAAGGGAGGCAGGGGAAACAGCCTGCAAAGTACTAGCAGAACAGTTAATTGTCTGGGGAGAGGTAAATTTGGACTCAGTCAAGTTCTTTGTTCCTTTTTAGTAGGTTCTTGGAGCCAGCAATCCATATCTCCTGGGCTGGAGAATCACGAGCAGTACAAATTCCTGGTGGCCAGGGAGGATGGCAGTGGGGATAAAAGTAAAAGAACCTGATGCAGGTTTGAAATTTGAGGTAGTTGAAAATGGACAGTTGCATGGGCCGCATGGAGTTATTTTCCCTGTCTTTAACCTTAAACAATGTTATAGTTTGTTTAAATTAGAGGCCAATGCTTTTCACACGTAAAAGTTTGTCAGTAAAGGAAACAAGTTCTATTTTATATGGCAGTATAAATGTGCTAGATATGACACAAAAAATTTCACATACTATTTAAGTATCCTGTGATTACATCTGTCAATTAAAATAATTCAGTAAATAGACAGCAACTCATTGCAATAGTAACCAGTCACACTTTTAGCAATAACTTTTATAGAGAAGAAAAGTCTCTGGAAATGATGCAATACTTAAAAGAATATTGCAATATTTTTTCACATGACGGTGATGGGTTTTCCCTAAATATCATCATGTGAAAGGAGGATCTGTAGAGTAGGCTCAGTTTCTCAGTTAAATAATCAGCAAACAATTCAGTTTCTTTTGCATTTATCCCAGGAAAAGAAAACACTTTTCTAACAATATAATTAATCTTGTGTTGGGTTATTACATTTGTTTTGGCTTAAATACTGGCTAACTACTGATGAAATAGGTGCTCCAAGAATTTCAGAAATATGCCTCTAGTGCATATGTAACATAGTAAGAGCTATAATTTTTGCTCAGTGACACCTGTTTCATAACCCTGTACTGTGCTGGTCAACCATATTTTTTGAAATATTTCATCACATAATTTTTCTGGGAAATGTCATTATATGATATCATTTCTGGGCAACTTCTTTGCCAAATTGTTTATGGCAATGACTGGAAAACTATTTCAAATTTTGTCATGAAATTGTTATCCTTTCCATCACTCAGACTCTTGATTATCTTATCATTGATAAAAATATAAATTCCTGACTCCCACAGCAAGATGGTCATCTCAAGGCTATTATTAATTATAAAACTACCAATAGAAAGAGGAATATACTTTTCTGAGAAATGCATAGACAGTATACATTTGTACATGCATATTTATTTGTACACATAAATGTATATATGTGTTTATGTATGTAAACTTACATACTTATGTATATTTTAAAATATAATTTATTTATGTACTGGATTTTTCTCTTCCTCGATATACAATCTCACACACACAATCTCTCTCACACACACAAACAGGAGATTTTGTATAACTGGATTTATACCACATATAACATGATGGAAGCACTGAATAAATACACTTTGACAACTACAAATTGATTTAAATGTCATACCAACATTAAACCAAAAAAAGCCATTTATGTTAAGAACCAGATAACAAATATAAAAGTGATGATTTTAATAAAAATCTAAGCCAAGACCCAAGACCTAAATTTTGCAAATCATTGTATACTCTATAAAGGGGTATTATTTTCCTCAGTCACCACTAGAAGAAAAAAAAGAATAGTGGTTGAATAAATGCATGGCAATGACACACAAAAACTTATAGCATAAAGTGAGAAAGAAGAAACATTTTTGAAACCTGAAATGTCTTAGGATATAATTTTCCATGTGGCATTTTGTTCGTTTGGCAGATGCCAACTGAAACAGCCAAAGGCACATGACCCACAGCACTGTCTAAAGGATGTCACTGATCTCAATAAATTCCCAGGAACAGTGAGTTGGTGGCAAGAGCTGTTCTTGCCCAGTAACTGGAGGCCAAGCACCAGGTAGTTCAATGCTAGGACTCCATGACTGAGAGACTGACACTAAAAAGAAAAAAAAAGGTTTGTATATATAAATGGTGAACTCATACAAAACTCACTAATGTGGGTGGGGGAGAGTTGAAAACGAGAAGAAGCATTATGTAAAGATATTGAGCAATCAGTGTTAATCGGATGGAATCAGAGTAGCAAAATCAAAGTGACAAGGAATGTAAAAGCAGAAGCCCCAGGTGAGACTTCAGTATATGATTTAACAAAGAAATCTTTCACTGAGAGTAATTTGAAGGGAGATTTCTGCAGATCTTAATCAAAATGTGCAATACTAAGAACCGGAAGGGGAAAATGTATCCTGTTTTGGGCTGCTAAAAGAAAAGTTTTCATAATTGGCTGTACAGACTTCCACCAGGGTGACACCTTCTAAATTAGTAATGTACAAATAAAAATGACAATAAATGTAATTGCTCGTTTTGCAGCTGTCCAGTAATGAAATTGTTCTGTAGCTGCTGTTATGGAAATTTACTGAGGAAACTATTTCCACACAGCCTTTTGAGGGCTTACAGGTGACTATTAAATTTAAAATTATTTTTGAGGCTACCGTATATGATAAAAGCTTACATTCCTGGAGCTAAGACTTTTAGAATGCTAACTACATCATAAAAAAAGATCTTGTTTCTTTTTTTCAGTGCCAAGTATAATATATCTTTATCTCAATAAAAGAGTGAGTGATATAGTCAAACTATACACAGGTTCAAAGAACTTGCGTCATGAAGTCTCAGAGAGTGGAAAAACCGCGACAACCTTGGAAAAACCAAAAAGTAATATTTATACAACACTCTACATGTTTATAATAGATCTGCACATATATTTCATTTGCTCTCATACCATCTTTCTGAGGCTTATATCCAAAGCCAAAGAAGTTTCAATGGCTTGCCTAAGCACACACTCTCAGTATGTGGCGGAGCTATTAACTCCAAGCTTCAAGCTATGCCCACCATGCATCACGCAGCCTCACCAAAGCAATTCAAGCCAGAGGAAGCTAAATCTACGAGGTGGAAGTATTAAGATTCTTCTTTAGCTTGAAAAAGGAAATACTGAAAAAAAAAGCAAAGAGAATGGATGATCTATATGAAACGTGCGCTAGGCAGGGCAAAAATACTCAAATTTGGACTACAGACATTTTTATTAGGAGAGAGAACTTTTTAAAAAAAAAATACTAAAACTGACCATCACCATGGAGAATTTTCTATCTTTCTGGTAAGCAGAGAGCTAGAACAAATAATTTTATTGGGGGTGCCTCAGGCTGTATATGTGTGGTGTCACATGTGTGTCATATGCCATGTGTGTGGAGTTCCAAATGTGTCAGGAGAAAGTCTGGACCCAAGGCTTCCAGATGGTGACCACCTCACTTTCCTACTCCTTTTGGGGAATCCATTAACTATTCCTTTTATTTTCCCAGAAGGTCACGATGTTTCTTGGACACAGCAGTAAAAAGAATTGAGGAGCAAATGTTCTCAAAGGTTACCCTTTGTAATAAGGGTTAAAAAAAAATAAATGAAGGGAACAACAGATTGGATAGTAAATAAGGGGTGGAGTCTTCATGACACATAAGTTTCTTAAAAAGGATACTGTGAGCTCATGAGAGAGCAGGAAATTAATAAACCTTCAGCAAAACAATACTATAAACTGTTAAAACATGGAGAAAAAATAAACATGTTAATAACAAATAATGGATAACATTTATATGGCTATGTATATGGTTTTACATTTTCTGGTTTGTTGTTAAATTGACCATTTTGAAGAATGGTTAAATTATTTCCATTGTCATCTTAGTTTCATAATTTATATAAATTTTTTTGTTTGTACAGATTGTGTAAAAAGTTCAGTATGTTTGGGTGGAAGCTAAGTGACACAAAATCCAAAAGCTTTGATTTAAACAGGAATAGATGGTTGCAATAGAGTTTATCTAGGCAATACGAGAGCTAAGCAGATGTGGTCTTTATGCTTAATATAAAAGAACAACTTGCTCTTACATATATTATACATAACACTAAGCTTAAAGCACTTGTGCAGCTAACAAAATATTATAACCTCAATACATCTTACTTTCCTACCTTTTTTACTGAGAAAATTGTGGCACAGAGTTCTATGTGACTTGACCAAAGTTAAAACAGCCAATTCATGGCAGAACTAGACTAGAACTCAAGCCTCCTGCTAATTAATATATTCTCTTCCTACTAGGCTACTCTGCCTCCCACTCCATTACAAAATCACTAAGGAATTCATGGTGTGAATTAACCTTTGGAAAGTAAAATAAAAGAATGTACTTGATGCCTGTAATTTTATTATACAATCTTTATGTACACCCATATAATTGAAGAAAGGAGAAAGAATCTATTGTGTATCCAAATAAAATTACATTTTCTGGTGAACTTAAATATTATATGAAATAAAAATGTAAATTAAAAAAATTTTTTAAATGTTATGGGCCACATACAGAGACCTTCCTTTTTGCAAATGAATGGATGGATCTTTAAATAATCAGATGGTCTGCAAAAATTCAGATCATACTTTCCTCCTCAGAGGTCTGTGGTTGGCTGAATTTCTTCCTAAGATAAGCTAGCCTTGCCTTCCAGAGTAGTCACAGTAGAGATTCTAGAAAAATCACAGTAGAGATTTTGGACTACATATCATACTATGTGGATTCATTTTGAGAAACTGGGTTAGTTCTTGTCAGAGATAATCTGATTTTTCTGTTATCTGCCCATTTGAAAATTGATTGGCTTTTAAGGTCCAAAAGTATTCTTACAACATGGAAAGGGCTTTTTTAGTCATTTGGTCTGAACATTTAATTTATATGTATGGGCCATAATAAACACTGATATAGCCATGGTAAAAAACTCATTTGTTTAACAGAAACAAAATATTATATATTAGACCGCACAGCCTAACAGATCTTAGACGACCATGTAAAATAAAAATTACTTAAAAGAATGTTTAAAACTCCGTTCAGCATATCACCTACTTTTCTGTTCACAGAAGCACATCTGTGTCCTCCCAATCACTGTGCTCTTGGGTGCAGAACACAAATAAATGGCCCATGAGCCACAGTATCAAAACTTTCAGCTAGTCAAGTATCATTCACAAAAACTTTTAAAAGGGGACACACAAGTTACTGTAGTGACCTGGATTCTCTCAGTTCTTGTATCCTAACTTACCTCACGTGATAATCAGTTGCTGGTCTAAGATCTTTCAGGTTACATTCTAATTCTTCTCCACTGCAAAGAAAAATCATTCATTAGTTAATAATACCAGTTTCAAAAGCAAACAGATTTTGAATTTGGGTCTTTAATCATGTACTGGTAATAATTCAAGAACTATTTTGTCTAACTCTACCAAAAAGCAGAAATAAACTTTCTTACTTGGTATTATTATTTGTTTTGGGCTAGAAAATCAGATTCTAATGATGTCATTCAGGGTCTGGAAAGTGGCATGGTTAACTTACTTATGAAATTCTAAAAGGTCTTATCACTTCTCAAAAGTAAATACATAAAAGTAAGTAAGTAAGTGAATGAATGAATGAACAAATGAATGAAAATAACTGGACCAATTGTTAACTGAAGATAGTTTTTAGACTTACCTTGGCAGGAACCTCAGCTACCTCAACTCTGGACTCTCTTAATGAAATCAAAATTTGCTTACCTCACATACCAACGTACCCAATAAATAGCTCTATTATATAAAATAACACCATTTATATGATCAAAAGTTGTGACTGAAACTCAACTTAAATCATGAGGAAGCAACCAACATGAAATAAGAAATGTACCATTAAATGATTTTCAAAAAGGTAAGAAGTAGGTATGTATATATGTGTGTGTCTGTCTTATTTTGTATTCTTCAAAAATGTCAGAGTCATAAAAGACGAATACTGTGGAAGTGTTCCGATTTAAAGAAGGCTAAAGAGACATGACAACTAAAGGCAATATCTGACCTTAGACCAGATCCTGTACTGGAGGAAAAGAAAAATGCTATAACATTTTTCAAAATAACAGACATTATTTATTATAGATCAGCTGACAAAACCGGAATATAGACAATGTAGATAAAAGTATCCTATCAATGTAAATTTAAATTTATGAGGCTGATAACTGTACTGCAGTTATTTAAGCAGAATATTCTTATTCACAGAAAATACACTGAAATATTTACTAGTAAGGGACCACGATTTATAAAACTTATTGGAAAAATTATAGACTAAGAGAACAGAAAACAGGAGAGAAGGAAGGGTTCAAATGATAAAGAAAATAAGGTATAAAATTAATAACAGGCGAATCTGGGTATGGCATATACATGTATTCCTTGATCTATTTTTGCAACACTTTAGAAGTTTGAAATTATTCCAAATAAAGTTTTTTCAAAAGCTGCACACTAGAAATTCTGTCCACATCCTGCCTAAACTCTTGTTTGACCTGCATTGTGTCTTTAAAAATTTTTGCATTTTGCTGAATTAGTTTAATAACAGGAAAGTTTCCATAACAATTCAGATTTTCAGTATCTCTTCAAAAAAAAAAAAAAAAATCCAAAGAATCAGCAAATCTAGGCAACAACCTACTTAGGCTGTGAGGACTGTTTCCCTTAGATGGCGACAGACAGGAGCTTTCCTGTTCACCTCATTTCCAACCTTCCCACTTTTCTCATTTGTTATGTACCTAGCCCCTCTGGCCACTTGCTCGTACATACAGGTTTCACATCCTGGAAACACTGTATTTCCGATGCACGTTTGGCTGAGAAAAAAAATCCACACATAAGTGGATCTGTGAAGTTCAAACCTGTGTTGTTCAACGGTCAAACATATCTGTTTCTGGCCAGGCATGAGAGACAGAATGCTCTATATTTCTTTAAGGTCTCTATTCTGATTTTTCAAACTGGAATCAAATGGCTATGAACTAGAGTTAGTTAGAGTTATTCTAAGTGCAGTGGAGAATCACTGGAGTGTTCCTCCACAGGTCAGTGCTCTAGTCTGATTTCCATCCCTGCAGTGTGGAGTTAGGCAGTGGGAGAGCAAGAACGGAGGATGAGAGACCCCGAGGAGACTGCTGCAGGCATCCAGGGAAGAGACACTGGAGGCAGTTGTGGCAGCAAGAGGAGGGCACAGCTGCTGAAGGGTTTCCTTTCCTTACCTCTGTGCCCTCTTTCCTTGTCAGGAAGATGACCGTCTGTGGAGCGAGTTAAAAATTAGGAACAGGTATGAGGAGATATGGCCTGTAGCGCTGATGCAGCAGCGAAATGGGAGAGAAAAGAACCATCTCTGGCACAGAAAGAAGTAGGGTATGTGTGACCATGTTACGCTGGATGTGGACAGTCATACCAGGGGCCACTTACAAGGAGGTCAAACAAGTAGTTAAGACAAAACTGACTTTCTGACTTCCTGCTCTGCAAATGTGAGCAGTGCTCAGCAATTATGAAGGAGAAAGATTTGACCCTAAAATTTTTATCACATTTAGAACACAGTTATAAATCATTTGAATGGTCAATACCTGGGAGTCCATAAAGCAGAAAGGGCTAATCCCTCATTCTGTGTGCTAAACTGTTGACCATTAAGACAGCCTCGTAATGAAATGTTTTAAAGCAATCTTTATTACAGGCTGGAAAACTATCGTGCAGGATAAGTAGTAGGATAAAGTGGAAGGAAACTACAGTGTAGAATTTTTAAAAACAGGTCTAAAAAAAGGGCTGGGTTTAAAAAGAAGAGTTAATCATATATTATACCTAATGCATGCAAAAACTAAAAGCAACTTTTCACTCTGATAGACATTAATGGAAAATTTTCATTAATGCTACACTGACAGTAAACATAACCAAGTGATATATTTCACCAATACCAAATAGCTCTACACTACTCATTTCTAATTAATAATTACTCTGGACAAAATTAATTCTTGACATTATAATGATTACTAATTACTAAAATGAACTATTTAAAAGAAAATTTGCAAAGCCTATACATTTTTCCTTTGTTTTCTATTTTCTTTAACAACTCCAATTTCACAGTGTAGCAGCAAAGAAAAACAATGAAAACATACACTACCTGTAAATTATCTTGTATTTTCCATCTCGTCCTTTGTCTGATAAGGCAACCTCGTAACTATAGGGGAAGGAAAGACCACTGTGGGGCCCACATGAAAGTCCAACAGGGGGAGCCCAGGACAATACAACTGCTCTTGCCTGAATATTAGAAACCTGAGAAAGAAAAACATGGGACAAAAGTATTCAAATCCAGTTCCCATGGAACAGACACCATTTCCTCTAATAACATTTTTGCAATTATTAATAGTGGCATAAAACTGGATCAGAGTTAATCCAAGGTAAACAATTTTAATTACAACAAAAGACATCCTATATGATATTCTCCTGTCAAAGTCCTAATGTCAAAAATAATAGCTCCTGCAACAGCTGTCCTCACAATGCAAACTTTCATCCAAATCCAGTGCAATTCATGCACAGTCTTCCAGAGAGTAAATAATGAGTCATGCTTAGGGATGTATTTTAAAGGTAAAAAGTCGAATGTGAGATTTCAATGATCTACATGATGGACAACACATGATGTGGAAGGAGCCATATCCACAGGTACTTTCTGGGGGCCTTGAAGCTTTGCTTGGTGTTGAATCATTCTTTAGACTTTCAAACCATGCCCCATGAAGTCCTGCAGATTCCCAGGAGAACGCAACAAGTGGGGAACTGGAACCAAGGACCAGGCTGATCCAGGATCGTGTGTGAAGTGAAGCCGTTTCTCCTTTCCGAGCTCTGTTCTTATCTTTCTGGTTTAGCCTATGCTTAAGACTTCATTTGAACAAAGGACTCTGGGACTTAAAATACTCTAACTTTCTTACCCATACTGAGTACTATTCTGAGGCATATTCTACATTGTGTCCCACAGGTCCTCACGAGGATTGAGCCCCAGCTGTTCAGAGCATTTACCCAATCATTCAGACCCTGTACTGGCTTCCTCCCCTTCCCTGTCTCAGTTCCCCAGTCTCCAACTGGGGCTGTCTGGGTCACCTCCCCAAATAAACTATTTGCTCTCAAATCTCTTGTTTTAGAGTCTGTTTCTGGAGAAACCCAACCTAAAGTATGGTCTAATTCTTTAAAATAAATCTAACAACAGAATTTTAACATACTAATTTTCTAAAGGTTATTCTATTGCTATTTGGATAGTGGTCTGAATAACATTAAAAACAAACAAGACTTAATACATATGCTAAAGTTTAATGTTCACAAAGACTTTAATAGCTATAGATTATTAAGTTGTAGATGGAGATACGTAAATTATTCAGTCCCTATCTATTTTTCTTCCTCTACTTTTGTCACTACCTGATCTAAGAGTATTAAAATATAAAATACTTTAAATACACAAATAATAAATATGGAAAATGAATGCTGAGTTTCCCTTTCAGTCTGTCATTCATTACATTTTTAGCATAGATCCCTCTATACCATTTCTGTTCCATATGGATATAGCATCACAATACAGTTAGCCAATTATTTAGTCAGACTCCTACTCATCCTTCAAGACCCTGGCCAGGACTCACTACCTCCAAGGGGCTTCTCTCAAGTATCTCACCCGTCCCCACTCCTCCATGTTCTACAGAACCTCGTGGATATTGCTATCGCTGCTAATCACTCTTACAGCCTTTGTCTCCTTCCCCCACTGGACTATGAAACTCCCGAAGGACAAGGCCCAAGTCATATTTAACTGTGAATGGTGGTTGCTTAGTAAATATTTGCTGAATAAAAAATAAAAATCAAAGAGAATAAGATAGGCTGAGTTCTTCATACAGGTGACACAGTTTATGGTAGACTAGTATTACACAACTCTTTAAAAAATCTGAAGAGAAACTGTTAGAGAATCAAGCTCTATCCCATCTTGCTGTGGCTCCAGACCGGCAGCCCCTCTTCCCCGGTATCTTCCACCTACCTACTGTCCCCTCTCATACCCTTTCACACCCTGTGACTTAGCTTTTGACTTTCCCACTTTCTTGGCTTCAGCGAACTGCTTTTAGACCCAGTTCAAATGCTACCTTTGTGTATTCATTTAATCATCATACCTCACCCTGTGAGGGGCTGTGAACACAAAGACACAAAGATGATCCAGATAGATCTCTGGCCTCGAGGAGCCCCAGTCTGCTGAAGAGTTGCATGAGGGGCCTCGTGACAGATATACTGAGACTGACTCAGGAAAGGTTTCTGTGCTGTTCTTCCAGATCCCCTGGTCAGAACCAATCACTATTTTCTTTGTGCTCTGGCCACATTTTCCTGGTACCTATATTTGGTGCTTTTTTCATTACATGGAGCAATACTTGGTTATTTGTCTGTTGTTTACCTACCCAGATTTTAAGACAGAATTTTTTTTTACATATACCAGTGTATCTGCTGAATTCCTTCACACACCATGAAGGAATAATCCTGAGGGATTGGGTATTATATTTGATTTTTAACTTAGGAGATACTTTGTTGTGAAGAGTTTACTTTATAACAAAAAAAGATGTTGATTAGGTACTGGGAAACATTCAACCAAGGAGATAAATGGCTTCTTTGCACAATTCCGAGAACACAATATGTAGTAATGCTGATTCTATAAAGGGTGGTGTGAAATAGCATCACGTCTCAAAATAGCTCGGTCAAATGCCAGCACTCTAGATACCAAACAAGCATCCATAAATTCACATCCCTTTAAACTCTACCTTTTAGGTCAGTTATTACAAATTTATTTTTTTCCTTTAGGATTTGATTAATTTTTATTTAAGTAAACAGAGATGTATAACACTTGAAGCATCAACTAAAATAACATTCACTTTTTCCCTAGATTCCCTAAACAAGCCTTCAGGAGACAAACTGTCATCTGAACACAGGTATTTATGGAAATGCATGCTTCCAATATGCCAATCTATTGGAAATGCACGTTGAGAACTCAGCATCATTGTAAAAGGACAGCAGTTTCTGTGACTTCCTTCCTCGAGCTAAGCAGCCTGAAACACAGATTGAGACCATGTTCCGGGCCAAATCCCTGCCTGTGCTCCTGCCACCTCCCTGTCACTGACTCCTGACTTCCCTTCTTCAGGAACTGGAATCTGAAGAGAAAGCACGTGGACTCAGGACTTGGAATTCACTTCCATTTCAGGGCCAATTCCAGAAAATGACGTGGTGCCTTTCAAGAGAATGTCACATAAAGGTGAATCCTCAGCACTAGGTAAGTGTCCTGGGAGGTGATGCCTTAATGAGACATTCAGAAGTCCAGGAACTCTGGGTTCGTGCCTATTTTGGAGCAATAGCATTCCTATGTGAGCTTCACATTGCAAGTCTTCCTCTCTGCTGAAACTTTCTGGCCAGTAGTGACCACCAAACTTAGCCAGTGCACAGCTAATCTGATTATCACAGTGATCACCAATAGCTGTTGTCTGCCCGGCCCCAGAAAATGTTTAGAAGCTATAAAACTGACTTCCTGATGTTTGTTTAATCCATCATAACTAGAAGCTAATCTCTTTCATAATGCTGATAAAAATAGTGATCTCTAGCTATGAAATTATTAGACAAGGTACAGTCTGAAATATGTTCTACACTAATGATATAGAAGGGTCTGTTGTGTAGGTTACTAGTATAAGTCGACATATGAATTATTTGAACTAAACTGCTTTTAAGTACCTTGAAGGACTCATAAAGTTACCACCTACTCCGAAATTGTCACATACTGATTAGAAATCATTCTTGTCTATGTATTTATTAAATATACATTCCAACTTTGAGAGCAGTTGTTATGTGTGTGTGTATATATAAATATAACTGCATTATCTTGTAGCTATTTGGTATGTAATCCTTCTCTTTCTGCTTGCACCTTCTCTCCAGTATTTTACTGGAGTTAAAATACTCCAGTATTTTAACACTGTTCTGTAAAATTGTACAATTTTTATTCTCGGAATTATGTGCAAATGATACTATTTGGATCAGAAACACCATTTAATCTCAGAGTTACTAAACTGTTACTCTTATATTCAAAAATACTTCTCTGTATGTTAGTAGCTTCTAAATTTGGTCTGGCCTTTGGATTTAACTATGTAGGAGGCCCACTGATCTAATTAAGGAGTACGCAAAGGAGATATTACCATAGAAATACTGGCTTCACTTCTAAAGTATCACCATGAGCAATACCACCACAAAGAAAAATAAATGAAAAAGGAAAAGGCCAAAGAAAAAGACTCAAATCTAAAAATTTCACAATCACCTGCTTCTATAACAGCTTAAGCGCTAAGAGCCTCGTATTTGTTCCCAGATACATTGCTGTTTATCTTTCAAGGAATGCTTCTAACAAGGGAAGTGCTCCTCTTAGGTCAGTTTACTCACTCTGGAACCGACAAATCAATTGTTTCAACAAGCTAAACATTAGCAGATGGAAACAATGCAGAACCACAATTCTAGGTTACATTTATTTATATCCTGAAAATAAATAGCCCACCAGTATATGGGAGACTACACTGGAGAAGATTAGACCACATTAGGCTGGAGGTGGCTAGTTAATTCCTAAGCCACTGGAAACAATATCAAGCTTATTCCTCTGGCATAGCAATGGCTATACCAGTGAAGTCTCCATGGCGTTTAATTGTTACAGTCCAAGACAAATACTTAGTATATTTATACACTGTTTTTAATGAAATTAAAATGAAAATTGACTAAGTATTTGGATCTTTACAGTATCTTGGTCTCTGAAGAGTAAATGACTTGCTCAATTCAGGGTGCTCAAAGCTCTAGACAGATGACTGGAATCCAAAAGTAGTAAGTATTGTTTCTGCGCCTAAATCAAATCATCTGCAAAATCTCAAAAATACGTGCCTTTTATTTAGACGCACTACCAGGTATGGGCTGAAAGATAAAAAAAAAATTAAAAACAACAATCTGTTTTACAATTATGTTCCCGACTTTCTGCTTCTTTCCCTGGAAGTGAACCCAACATGCCTCCTAACCATTTCAGAATGTAGCAGGGAATTTCACTTTTGCTTAATGATGTGCTACAGAGTGTAGAGAAATACTCTATTCCAAGTATTCAGTGAATAGTACATAATTTACTTTTCATATAGTCCCATGTGGTATTTATTATCTTACCTTTCAAAGACAAGGAAACTGAGGCACAGGGAGGTTATGTAACTTACCCAAGGTCACAAAGACAGTTAACAGCCAAGATAGGTCCCAACTCAGAGCGCCAGAATGCAAAGCACGGGCCCTTCCCCTCCAGGCTGCTGCCTCGGACTCTGCGGGCTGAGCCCCATTCTCTAATGCTGGTCAACCGTCAGGCCTCTGTCCCACCCGCCAGATCCTAGCTACAGCCACTGCAGTTGGCCACACATAATATCTGTGAAGGGTTCACTTTGTGCCAAGGACAGTGCTAGATATTAGGGGCATATAAATCAATACGACGGAATCATGAATAACAACTTCAGAGAGAAAAGAAGTAGGAGGGGGAGGGAGAAAAACTACTATGCAACTAACTAACTGGGCTGGGAAGAATGAGTGGGCTGTTGCCAGGCAAGAAGATTTATGAGGAATACGGCAGTGTGGTAGGCAGAACAGACCCCTGCAAAGATGTCCACATCCTCGTCCTTGGAACCTGTGAATATGTTACCTTACATGGCAAAAGGGACTTCACAGGTGTGATTAGGTAAAGATCTTGTGATGTGGGGATTATTCTGCATTATCCAGATGGTCCCAGTGTAATCACAAGGGTCCTTATAGGTGAAAGGGTGAGGCAGGAGAGTCAGAGAAGGACATGTGACAACGAAAGCAGAAGCTGAAGGGCGATGACTGCTGACTTTGAAGATGAAAAGGGGCCACAAACCAAGGAATCCAGGCTGCCTCTAGAAACTGGAAAAGGGGAGGAAACTGGAAAAGCTATCTCCCAAAGCCTCCAGAAAGGTAATGTAACTCTGCCAACACCTTGATGTTAGGCCAGCCAGACATATTTTGGACTTTCTGGCCTCCAGAACTTCATAACAAGTTTGTATTGTTTTCAGCCACTCAATTTGTGGTAATTTGTTACAGCAGCAATAGGAAACTAATACAGGTAGACAGGAAGAGAAGTTGCTTTAGTTATGTGCAAAAACAGGAGGCATGAATAAGCACAGCGCTCATTAGAAATTCCCTTGTCTGGTACACCTTCAGCCCAGGCAGCCTCGATATACCTGTGCTGTCATCCAGGGAACCAGGCCCAGTGAGTGGTTACCCCTAGTCATCACCCACATACTGATGAAGCAGCTGTGTCCAGGGACACCCACTTTTTATCAGATGATTTTCATCAAACTACTTAAAAGGTAGGATGGAATATTTTGGCAAGTCCAAGTTTCAGTGGTAAAAAGAACATTAGCTATAAATGCTGATCTATAAATCTTTAACAACTCTAGAGTTTGTTAATGCTGTGCTTATGCTGCAGAACTAGCAACTCTAGCTTTACAGGACTAAGGAAAATCCTTGGCTATATTCCCTATATATATATACACCCATCTAAATCATGGAAATGTTATCCTTTGACTGAATTTCTAACTCGAAAACCATGTTAGATACTTAGAGGAGCGTAATGAGAAAGGACGGCATCCAGACAAGCTAGCTGGCCTTGTGGCTGTCCGCAGCCTCGTGGCATTTACCCAAGTGAATCCACCAGGTCTGGCCCCCTGCCCAGCAGACTCAGAAACTCAATCTAATTGGTGTTGCAGAGTCAATCAGACTCAGGAATGTTAAAACAAACTATAAGACTTATAGAAGCAGATATATAAAATCAGATCACCAATTAATTAATCTATAATGAGAAACAAAATTATTTGGCGGATTAGACAATACTGTCAACTTGTCTCACATATTTTCTTTATGTTGGCTAACAGGAAGCAAAATTCTCAAAAGGCTACTGTGTGGACACCGAATGAGAACAAGGGGACTTAGCTACATGATTCTAGGGCCAAAAGGCACTGGGCTCTGAGAAGCCATCTTTCCATGATGGGGACAGAACGGCTTGGCCAGGCTGGGATGGGTAGAGCCAACATTCATCTGCTTCTGTAGCCAAGCAATCCTTGTTTCCAAATGATACAGACAAAAGTTTGCAGAGGACACTCTTACTAAATTATACCTTACATCATGGCTACTTACAAAAAGCCTGTCTATCTACTCTGCTCTCAAAACTGCAAAAATTAAGTGCTTAATAAATGCTGAATCGATCAATGAAAAAACCAATGCATTTGAATATTGCTTTTATCTAGCTAGAGCCACATTATCCTCAAGAAACATAGATTCTGTGATTTCTGCAGTAAAGAAGTGATCAGGAATATCTGAAGAAAAGCACTGTGTGCATACACATGTCTGCGACTACATCTGGGACAATGAACTAACTTGTTGCTCTGCCTTTTCTATGATTATAACTCCTCCGTTTTCCTCAAGGATTTTTCTTCTTTTTTACTACACTATGAATACAAGCTTTTTCCATGATTCTGCCCTCAAGCCTTTTCTAATCTCTCCCTATACTCCACCCCTCCCTGCCACCAAAGCTATCACCCACTCCTACAATTTTAACTATCATTCCTGTGCATGTGATCTCCCCCAGTCAGTATCTTGTTCCTCCTCTCTCCACAGCACTGATTTACCAGACACTTTCGAGTGACCACGGTATTTATCTTTCTGGATGCCCTGCCAGTGAAACAAACTCAACATGTCCAAGAATGGCATTGAAGATAATAAGAACATAGATATGAACCTGTTCTAGAAGAACTGAAAGTTACTGGGAAAGACACAGCAACAAGCGAATGGAGTAAATGTATTATTATTAACCACAACAGCAGAGGTACGTGCAGAGCACAGTGAGACAGTGGTCCTAAGTATGCACTAAGAGGAGTATCCTACTTGATGAGCGTGCCCAGTAATTAGGGGAGATGTCCCAGAGGAAGGACACAAACTCAAAAACCCAGTTATCCATGACACTCACTATCTAATAGGTTATAATGCCTTATTGATTTATTTCTTGAATGGCTCTAGTATCTATCCCCTCCTTGCTACACCTGCTGCCACCACACTAATCCTGACGCCTCTAGCCTCTCACCAATACTACAGTAGTAGATTCTTAATACTTTTCTTCCTGGGTCCACCCTCTTCTCACTCCAACTCATTTGCCAACTGTTTGATCATTCTGAAAATGCATCCCTGATTACATAACTTCCTTGCTCAAAAACCCTCAAAGGCAGCCTGCTCCTTACCAGAGTAAGTACAGACTCCCCATCCCAACATCAACACCCCTCTCTTCTACAAGGGCCCTATTATACCTGTCTTCCAACACACCTCATGCGTTCAGGTTTAGTCAAACTCAACTATGTACCCTGAGGCATATTTGGGCTCTTCTATTAAAAAGCCTCAGTATTTGAAACACATGAAGAATCCAGGTTTTCCAATTCAGCTAGAAAATACTCCAAAAGAACTTTGGCTCTCTAATGTCAGATGAAAGGCTGAATCAACATTCTGAATTTTTCACTTGAATTTCAAAGCACCTGGCAAAATCAAACTTAAAGCCTCATAATATCACCACTCCCAACAATTTTTTTCTTGCCATTGCACCCAATGTTCTGGACTTATTTTCCTCAGCTAATATTTAAACATCTTTTTGAAATTTACCTGGAAAAATACTTGGAATTACTGAGGTTCTTAAAAATTATTATTACTACATTTACACAGGTAAAAAAAAAAAAAAAAAATACCAAAAGAAAACTGTTCTGTAGACCCGAGAAAGAAAAAAAAAATGCATTTTTAGGAGTTGGAAAGAATATCTAATTGCATTCAGAATACCTAAATAAAGAAGATATTTCAGTGGATTCTGACTACACAGAAGACTGCTGGTCTATACTTTCATGCCCCATTAATAACTGACCACCATTTCAGAGTTGATGAATAATGTGCAAAGGGAAGGGGCCCTTTTGCTTACCTACTGTGTGGTGAAAGAAAAGCACATTTGAAATTCTTAAGAAAGTGTCATTTATGCTGAGAAATCCAGAAGACATACCTGTGGTTTCTCTATTCCCGAAAGAATGTCTTGCACCCTCTTTACTTCCAACTCATACTCTGCATTGCAAAAAAGAAAAAAGGAAAAACAATACCATTAGAAGGCAATAACATTGTCAAGTTCCTTCCCCAAGGCCTTTTAACTATCATTAAATCAGTTGCCTGTTACCATCACAAACATGATAAGGAAAATCAGGAATGAGGGTGTCTTTGAGGCAGGGGTTTTAGTGTCCTTGTGCTGACTTGCCTCTGCATAGTTTTAAGGATTCACAATGCTATTGAGATTAACAGAGTTCCACTGAATAATTCAATAGGCAACAGAGAATAAAGGGTCCCAAGGAGGACAAGAGGGGAGACCAATGCAGCTGGAGGCTGAGGGTAATGAAGAGACAGTGGCTCGTCCACACAGGGCACTATGCTATGAGTTCAAATTTTTGAGTTCAGTTTTTATTTTTATTAAAGAAAGTTCTTTCAGATCATTTGTTTTTTGGGGTTAGGAAGAAAGTAAAAATTATTTTGTCTTTTACCATTTAATCATAAATATTTGTAATATTTTCTTAAATTTTCTTTTTCTGGCCACAGATTTTTGTTTTTATATGTTTGTATTTAAGCTTTGTCTTATGTTTTACTCGACATACCACTCTCAGCTTTGCTTTTTTATACTGCTACTTGTAAGTATTCTGATAATTTTGCATTTCCTGATGTGGGTCGTTTGTGCAAGGAACAGCCTCTTTGGTTACCACGCACAGAGTTATTTTTAGATTATTTCCAACATTGCTTCACTTATCATTGACTTGATTTAATTTTGTTTTTTTTTTGGTGACAGAGTCTCACTATGTTTCCCGGGCTAGAGTGCCGTGGCATCATCCT